GTGGTCACACTAGCAGAGAGGATTGGATTAAGCTCCTGCATGTGGACGTGTTTTGAGAAGAGATGCAGAAAAGCAGTTGAATTTTGATTTCCTGCGACTTTCCACGCGCTCAATCCAGTTCTCTTTGCTAGTGGGACCTACTGGTAGCCCCTGGAGGTGGTAGCAATTTTTTTTTTTTTCTTCTTCAGTTCGGGAGTTTGTGAAAGGAAATTTGAAACGAACTTAAAAAAAAAAAAAAATTAAGTTGAAGGATTTGGAGCTCGCGCTGTGTGTGACCACACGAGGCACCATTTTGGCAATTGCCAGAAAGTGAGGGGGCGAGGTCCCATTAGCAAAGAGGATTGGATGGAATGCCTTAATCTGGATGTGTTTGCGGACAGGTGCAGGAATGGAGATTGAACTGCTTTTCTGCATCTGTGCCTACAATATGACCAGATTCAGGATCTTAATCCAATCCTTTTTTCGAGTGGGACCTGGCCCTGGATAGTGTCTTTTGTGATTTGCTGCAGCTGTGTGACCAGGCGGGGTGTCATTTCAGCAAAATCGGGATAGCAAACTTCACAGATTTTGCTGCTATGCCACCGCCGTGTGAGTATGCTCATAATGTAATATAAAAATTAAAAAATACAAATGGTTACAATATAGTAATTGGATAACAAAGTTGTATAATATGTGTAATAATGATGGTATTGAGGAAATCTCTCTTATAACCAAAAAAAAAAGATTGTCGTAATACTTTTGAGGCTTTTGATTTTGATTGGTCTCTTTCGAGTTGGTCCAGCTACCAGCTACCATTGTAGATGTCGACCCTGACTCCAGCATAGGTTCGTCTCAGATCCCGATCCCGGGGCCCAGTCCCACTTACTCTGTTGAGTTCGTTGAGTTCTCGATCACATGCAACCAGGTGTGCCACACGTGCGACCAGGTGCGCCACCGAGATCGCTGCAGGTCTTGAGCCAGTTCAACGACCAGGTGCGCCACCGAGAGCACCGCAGGTCTTGCGCATGGAGCGGAGATTTTCTCGAGATAGTGACGATGGATTTGTTTATTTTTTTTTTTGTGTGTGTGTTTGGCATAACATCCGTGACGGACAACTACCCATACCCATCAGGCTGTAAGAGCGCCTGCTGGTAGGTTGGAGTCTGCACTGTCTGATGGCCCCAATCCATTGACGGACGACTACCCATACCCATCAGGCTGTAAGAGCGCCTGCTGGTAGGTTGGAGTCTGCACTGTCTGATGGCGTCAATCCAATGACGGACGATTACCCATACCCATCAGGCTGTAAGAGCGCCTGCTGGTAGGTTGGCGTCTGCACTGTCTGATGGCTCCAATCTATTGTTGGGGTGGAGCACCTGCTGGAAAGTGGGTCCAATTTCCCAACGAGTGTGGGACATTTCTTTCGTATCTCGCTGGCTATGGGGAAGTCGCAAAAAAACCGTCAATACTCGATTAGAACGCCACTCGAGATCACGACGATGGACATTTCTTTTGTATATCGGTACGAGGAAATCGCAGAAAACCCTTCTGTGTAC